TTCATCCCCCTTCTCCTGGACAGCATAAGCAAAAGGTTGAGAGGGCTCATTATAACTTCTAAGCTGACACATTTCCAATAATAATCACATTTTTGCGGCAGTCAGCCGCAAACAAGCGTTGGTGAATGGGGCAGAAGACCAGCTTGCAGGTCTTTGCCAGTCCCGCCTTGCTGGGAGAAGAGAGGTCCTGCCCCCGGGCTGCTGCCTGCCTGCCCCATGGTCCCCCACAGCTGTTTCTTCACATCATCTCCTCAAATGTCCCATGAGGAGAGGGCAGCCACAGCCCAGCGCTGGCCAAGCTCAAGGTGGCCCCTTGTAACCTCCCCCTGTAACTTGTCCTCCACCGCGGGCCTCCTAGAAGCAGGCTCCCAAGGTCTGCTCCTTCTCTTCGTCCCCAGACACATGTTTACTTGCAGATGTAAGCAGAAAGCTTAAATTTTTGGAAGAACATCCGTGGGAAGCAATTTTCTTCCTGAACTCAGCGTTACTATTTTGACACTATCCCAGGTTAATCTTTATTTCAGCAGCGATGTGTGGACGTTTGCGGGACTGTCTGCTTAATATATATGTACAGCTGTCGCTTAGAAAATAAACTGTTCCATTCATAGAAACAGACCACAGCGCACAGAGATGGGAAATTCAAAATAATAATAATAATTATTAATGCCATCGTCTTTTAAATTTTAAAGATTTGGTATTCACTGAACAGTCAATCTGATCTCTCCCATTTAGTTCGCATCGTTAACTTTATGTTCTCCAGTTATTAATCATTTGATGGTTCTTTAATACCTCTAGAAAACCTTTTTTCAGCATGGATATCCTAGAGCCTCTGTGGTAGATGCTATTTGGGGATTTGGGAAAAAAAAACCAAACTAGTAGTATTCTAGCACTAGAGAAATGCTCTAAATAAGAGGTGTCTGACAAAGAAAGAGTTGCTGCTTCTGCTGAAAAATAGTTCAGACTGTTAAAGAAAAATGGGTAGAAATGTTAGTGCAAGTTCACTAAGGGAAAAGTATATGTTTCTTTGTGGAGCTAACCCTCAGGGCCGTTTGGAGGAGTACTCAGAGGCTTGTGTGGCTGTGTACAGCAATTTTATATGGGATGCAACATGTCTGGTTTATTAAAAACAGTTTGGGGGCATCTTGAGTGTTTGGCTAATCTTGCAGAATTTACACAAAATTTACTGCACTGATTTATGCAAAATATTAAGTGCGGTTTGAAGAGCAAAGGGATGATGCTCTAGCATAATAAGAATAACTGACTCGGGAAAGATTTGCTATCGAAGCAAAACTAAGAAATCTGGGAACTCAGCCTGACCATGGAAACTACTTCTTTCACCACAAATATGACATGTACATTTTATGAAACCTACTTATTACCAGGGGCCAAACTCTGTGGTCCTTATGCAAGCACAACTTTCACTGCAAGTTCACTGAGGACGGTAGAGTTTGGCCCCAAGCTATTTCTTTTCCATAGAAAATTACTTCATTTGTAATTTCCTCTTCTTATATTTCTCAGTAACTGCAGAAATGTGAGCTAGTCATTTAATTTCAAGTGAATAAAAGCTTTGAGGACCCTCTGTGAAATTGCAACTTTATCTTTCAGTGTAATAGAATAAAGGAGTAAATTTGTGGACGTGATGTTTTACTTAGAGGGGAAAAAAACATATTTGGATAACTACACAGACAGGAAACCAACGTAGATGCGTGAGTTTTTCCATCTAAGTAAGATGAGAAAGATTTGGGGGTTTGAGCTGAAGAACAGTGACTCGGGATGCTACAAACAGCCAAATTAATATTGAGCTTCTGGGATGTTTCTGCGAGCACAGCGCAGCCACAAGCTAGTGCTGAACGAGGTCTGGGTTACTTACGTTACCCTAGCTAATTTTATTAGCATGGTGCTCAACCTTGGCTGGTACATGCACTTCTCTGAGGCTAATATAAATATATCCATACCGCGTTGTACCATACCTCGTAGATGCATCCAGTGGGGAAGCGGAATCGGGGAATAACGGCACGGAGGATGCAGGGGGCTGAGGCGAGGGCTGGGGTTTGACCCTTGGAGTGTTTGTTTGGTACCCTGCAAATTCGGATTCCTCAGAGAGTAAAGGGGGCCAGGGCTGATCGGAGTCAAAAGGCTGAGCCAAAAGCTGCTGCTATCAGTGTAACCCTGAGCAGGAGAACATCCATAGCCCGTAAGCAGCCATTACATCTGGCATCCCTTTTGACCATTTCTCCTATGTGACCAAAGACTTAGCAGCCACGCAGGAGAAAGAACAAACCCATTGTAGCGTTTCGCGGTTAGCCTGTGCCCGCATGGTGCTTTGCCAGCAGACATGAACGTGTTCTTTCCATCCTCCTCCCTCCGCCAGTCCTGTGAGCACAGCTAGCGCGACACCGAGCCCGAGCGTGGTGCTCCCAGCCAGGGCTGGGCCAGCCTGCAGAGCCGCGCTGGAGCTGGTCCCATCGCCCCAAACCTGGGCCGCCTAG